TATTAGTTTAGAGTGGAATCAAACTGAGGCAGCCCACGTTGCACCCCAATTGGAGAATGATTATCATGTATCCTCCAAAAGTTGCTTTTATGTACTACAATCATTTTTTAATAGCCAATTAACTTCATGACAACATTTGTTTCTTTATCATGAATAACTTTTAATATAGAATTCTAGTTTCCATGTATGATCATGATTAATCATATACTAGAAAAGCAATTTGCAGATTGACATTAGGATGTTCAAATAAAACTTGCACATTTAAATTGTCTCAGAATAAAATCATTTTAACATGCTCTTGCATCCCCAAACAAACACTGCATTTAAAACTGGTTATTTCAAAATGGTCCCGAGGTGTAAAATGTCAAAGCATTATCATACAAACAAAATCACACATGGAAAAAACCTTCGGTTCAACCAAAAAATGATCAACTTATCATAAAAACCATGCAATCAGTCATGGCACCAATAACGCGGGAGCTACCCGGAGCCCGTTTCTACAATCCTTGCTATAGTAACGCCACAAGAGCCAAACTAAGCGCATGTACCGCTTCACAAAATAGAACAGAACAAAACCAAGCAGCCCGTTTTCGATTCCTTTCCAATAGCAAGTTTCCTCCTTTCCTTTCATTCCTTTCTAGTAGTTTCTTATGTATGTGTTGTACTAGGGTTTGTACAAAAATTTTTTTGCGTGAGTTTGTTTAGGACAACCATCTGCATCAGTGTTCTCCCTTCGATCACCCTCCATTGTTCGCCCCCCCCGGCCCAGCCGCCAAAGCTGTTCTTCTGTAGTCATGTCCACTGCCACCTTCAAGAATTCACCTCCCTCGCTGTCGCAACCAATACAACCGCCCCTATCACTCTCTGCCGCGCTATCTACTTATTGTACAGCCGTCCCCCTTGTCGTTTCCAGTCACCCCCAGCTTTTCCAACCGCCCTATCACCCTCCACCGCTAGCAAGCTGCTATCCCAACTGTTCCCCATGCTGTCCTCGTCGTTCAAGCCACTCAAACCATCCACCATGCCACCTTGTTGATGTTCTAACCCTGACAGGCCTTGCCACAACTCATCCGCCTTCTAGAAACCTTACTTGTTGAATCCTTCACCTTCCAACTGCGCAACCTACCCATGCGAGCCCACCTCGCCAATCTCTACCACCCTTGAGATACACTTTAGTTTTTTTTATTTATTTTTGATGTTGTGTTTCTTTTTCAATGTGTGAGTTGTAACGACTTAATTGGCTTTTCAGTAATAATTTTTAGTTTTCCTTTTTTTTTTTTTGGTTAACTTTGGTATAAATAATTTTAATTACACGGGTAGATATTTTGATATAGGTTCAGAAGGCCACTGTCAAAAAGTAGGAATCAAAAAAAATAGAAATTTAAAGTGATATAAGAGATAGGGTGATACCGGAGTTAACCCAAACCATAATATGATAAATAAATAGGGTGTTACAATCAACACGCTTGAAAGGAAATACATCAACATGACACTCGAAAATCTGAAATAGCAACATACATGACACAAATAATCAAACTGAGGTGGGATCTCGGGATGGTGATGGTGATCAAAGTGACAACAGATCCCTACTGTTCTGAGCAGCAGCAAGGAGGAATGTAATTTTCAAGGTTCTGGAACAGCGGATATGTGGACAGGAGGCGATGCAGGAGAGCTAGGATAGCAGTTGGGTGAAAGGGAAGTGGCCCGGAATGACGGGGAGAGGATTTATGGTGGCTAGAACAGTGATGGCAGTAAGCAGAAGCACTGGAATCACAGGAAATATGGGATGGAATGCAGAACCTGCAGGACGAGCTACGTCGGCAACTGTTTCGAGCGGTTGCAGAAGGAAACAGTGATAGGGAGAGATGTGGGGAGGATGCGGAAGGGGGATAGGGAAGATAAACACCACTTCGGAAGAGAGATACAGCCAGAGCACCGCACAAACTCTCGGCTAAAGCCCTCGCAGATAGAAAATGGATGTCGGCGACTATCCTAAACAGAACACACCAATAAACTACTAATACAAACACTACTACACACATATAAGGGGAAGGACTAAAAAGGAATTAAGGATAATAGGAAAAAAAGAAAAAGAAAGAAAAACGAGACTGTTTCGGCGTTCCAACACCCAATTCCCGCTATATGTTTTCCCGCAGTACTGCAACAACTACAATACCGCAAGAAAATTGCGCGGGAAAAAGCTTTTACGTCAATCTCCTGGGGTTGGGGAAACTTCGATCTCATTTGTTGAAGCTTTTAGCTCATCATAGCACGGAGTCAATCTGGCAAGTTGAAGGTAGCAGAGATATTGTAGCCATTTGGTAGGTCGATAAAGTAGGTGTTGTCGTTTCAAAGCACATTTCGGTATAATAGGTATTCGTCCTCTTTTAGCACAACCTGAGTTGGCACTATAGATAGACGAGCATTCTCACCAATCAAATATTGAGTCATCCCCTTCGTAAATTATTTCTTCCACTCCTCGTACTCATCGGAATGTAGTTGATAAACTGATATGTGAGGAGAAATCAACTTTGAGTGAATTATGTGACAGGCTGCACCCCTATCACAAGCAACCACTTAAGAGAAATATCTTCTTTATTGATAGAATCTGAATCTCATTGAAGAATTTTCTTCCTAATCAAGCTCCTAATAGACATTTCAAAGCTGGGGTTCATCCCTCCTGGTTAAACATCTGTTGATGGGTACTTTGTGAACTGAATCTAACATCTGAATAACTCAATGTAGTCTTTGAGACATCGCCCAAAAGGACTCCATTTCTGATATGTTGGACCTCCCTCAGTAGAGGCAAACCAAGAATGAGTCTACAGATCTAAATAGTTTGAATTTCTCGTATATGGGATTGTCATGTCACTTGTGTCAGTTCCTTGAACTCAATATTACCTTGGACACTCAGCGTGAAGTCCATTGGAATCTCTCACACGAGCTCAGCTGGAACAATGTGCCTCTTTTCCTCCTCAACTAGAAGTTGATACTCCTTTATGTCCTCACCATTTTCAATGTATGTTGTCATTACCAAAAATTTCAAGAATGACCTGCTTAGTGAAAAAAATCACCCCCTGGTTGTGCAGTCTAATTTCAACATGCCCACATCTGTGGCACTTGCTATACTTCCTGGTTGTTAAGGATTTAAGAATGTTAATTATTTCCACCTGTTCTTCATTCTAAATTAGTTTTTTCCTCTAACAAGGTCGTTTTAGGTGTTCTCCTAGGTGTATTCTAATTGTAAGATCCTGATGTTAAACTTTGTCTGTAAATGTGGTGGTTGCTCAGTGATGTAGTATGTCCACTTCTGATCTATAGTCCGAATTTTCGGTTTGTAGTAAGCTGGTAAGAACTGACATTGTATCTCCTACTTCATCTTCAGATTCTCCCGTTCTTCATATGTTGACTCTTCTCTTAGCCTCCTCTAATAGTAGATTCCACAACATTGTGGCCGGTCTTCTGCATCACTAATGTCCTCTCGATGGAAGGGATTCTGATCCTCGTTTCTGGCTCCCCTTCGACTATCCCGACCCCGATCGAGGGTAATCTTCCACTGGATTTATCATCAATGTTTGCAAGCCTCCACTGAAGTCAACAGATCTCCCACTATATCTCTTCCCGGGTAGGCTCGAGTGTGTATCTCCTTGGTGGCATGGCTAGGGTTTAGATTTGGAAGGTGAAAGAGGGTGTAGTAGACTAATCGATGGTTTCGAGAATTTGATTTGAGGTTGTTGATGTTGAAAATCAGCAAAGAAGAATTAGGATTAGGTCAAAATGTGATTAAGGTTTGGGAACAGGAAAGAAAAAAAAATTTAGTAGAGGAGGGGGGTAAGGAGGATGCTGAAAAATTCTCGGATAGGACTAAAATTAGGCTAGCTCTAATATTAAATGATACTGGAGTTAACCCAAACCATGATAATAAAAACTATATTATTATCGAAAAATAAGTAAGTGGTTATAATCAACACACTTAAAAGGGAAAATACAACAATACAGCGCTCAGAAATTTGAAATAGCAACATGCATGACACAAATAATCAAACTAGGGTGGGATCTCGGGGTGGTGGTGGTGATTGGCAGAGGTTTGGAAGGTGGTGGTAAGGAGGGAACACGGAGTAAGTGGGCGGAGATGACAATAGAACAGCTAGTCCCTACTGTCCTGGGCAGCAACAAGGTGGAATTTGAGTTCCCGCCGGGTGGAACAGCAGATAAGTGGTCGGGAGGCGGTGCAAGAGGGCCGGAACAGCTGTTAAGCGGCAGGGACGTGGCCTGGAATGACAAGGACATCAGCGGGTGGGAATGGGGTAGGATTTATGATGACTGGAACAGCGATGGAAGCAAGCAGAAGCCCTTGAATCACATGAAATGTGGGCTGGAATGCAGAAACTGCAGGAAGAGTAGCGTTGGAAACTATTCCGGGAAGCTACAGCAAGAAATGGCGGTGGGGAGAGGTGCGGGGAGGATGCGATAGGCGAATAAGGAAGATAAACACCTCCTCGTGAGAGAGATACAAACGGAGCACCACCCAAACCATCGGATACAACCCTCAAAGGGTGAAAACGAACGTCGGTAGCTTTCCTAAAACAAATACACCAAAAAACTACAAATTCAAACCCTAATACACACATACATAAGGAAAGACTACAAATGAAAGAATGATAATAGGCAAGGAAGAATAAGAGAGGAAAACGGGACTGTTCCGGTGGCCCGACTCCCGTTTCCCACTATATGTTCTCCCTAAGTACTGTAGTTCATACAGTAACGCGAGAAAACTGTCTGGAAAAAACTCCTGCGTCATAGGGCCTCAATTTAGGCATATTTGGTTAAAAAGAATCTTGAAAGTGTTGCAAAAAAAGGGAATAGCCGAATTGAGACAATTGAAATACAAGCTACCGAAATTTATTACTAAACGGTTATGATGAAAAAGTTTAAGACAACTGATATAAGAACTACAGAGATTAATGAAACATTTAGATCAAAAAATGCATTTTACTGACCTGTGTTAGTCCGAGAAGGAAACATTTCATGGTGCTCAAACTTTGGGCCTACTTCTTCCAACTTAATGTCATCAACCTGCAAAGCCTGTTCAGGTCTACCATTATAAATGTAGGAATTACGACAATTCATCTCCTAGTTCACAACAATAGATATTTTATATATGTAGGAATTACAAAAATTCTTCTCCTAGTTCACAGCAATAGATATTCTATATATGATACGGTACATGGGTAATCAATGTCCTGTTTTCCCCTGATTAATCAAATAGAGCGTGATTTACTTATTCAGTCCAGCCGGTATGTATGGAATTGACCAGATGGAAATAAATCTAGACTCAGGTTGATTATCATTTATGAGGACTTATTCTATGAAATGGAAATAGGAATTCTAATATGTTCTCTGAAACTTCAAACCAAATGACCAAATAATATTTGAGATCATGAACGCCACGTCTCTAGTTCTCCTGCACTGAAAGTTTAATTTTGGAAACTATAAACATCCCTCGAACCTCATGTTTTTCAATGGTGAACCCGTGACATGACAATGTGTGATCACAGCCACACCACGATTTGTATCTTCGTGGGTGAGTAAATTTTCCACTTGCTCAATCATTATAAGTTGCTTTCTTGGAAATATCAAAGCAATTGCACCCAGGAAAATAGAAAATAGAAAAAATGAATAAATCAAAACACACCATCATAAAATAAAATCAGGCTTAAGGCACAACAAGAAAGTGGAAAAAGAGTTCTTGCTTCTTCCCTGAAAATTTATCAATAAAAAATGTGAGAAATCAGAAAAGAAGTGTTTTAATGATTATAATCCATCATTTAAAAGGGGAACATCTATGTTGGGTATCATCCTCGTCGTTTTTTGAATTGAAATTTTTTTCGAAGTGCAGGCAATAGATTGTTGGTAGGATTAATATCACAATCAACAAACCTATAACATTGATAGAGGTCATAGCTGAATTACATCTGTTTCAAAATATTCTATTAAGTAGACGTGAGAATTACCCCTATATGAATCCCCACCCCTAGAGTGCTTGTCCTGAGACTTCTTTAAGAAAAAAAATGCTAGAATAGCGGAGAAAGTCTATATAATAAGCCACAACAACGTTGAAGTTGATTATAAAGAATATCCAAAGTTTAACTATTGTCATAAATGTTACAAATATTTTTGGGTTGCATTTAATCCTCATTTCGAATAGATAAGTGAATTATTAACATTATAGACAAAGAGACTTGAGGAAGAGTACTTGAACTCTACATGTCTAATAGGAAACCTAACCTAACACAGAGCTAATCTTTTCCATGAATATAATCTCAAGGTCAGCGCCGACCCATAAATAAAATGATGACAATGAGAGTATGACAATTGATGACAATAATATATTTATATAATCTTTTAATTAGAACAATTTAGTCAAACATTCAATCAAGGGGAAAAATTAAAAAACTAACATGGACCAATCACGAGCACACCATGTAAATGAAATGACTCGTTTATCAAAGATGTAAATGCAACAATCAAAATAAGAGAGTAACAGAAGTGCACTACAAACAGTATATTCTAACCATGGATTAAAAAAGAGTTTAAGGCACACAATCTTGTCGGATGTTTCATCATCATGTTCCTAAAAATTCCCTCAAACCTTACAGTTTAATGGTTTAAGGCTTCGCCTTTTTTATTTGAGGCAAGACATTTTAGTCAGACTTCTCAAATTACTAAAAAAAAAAAAAGAATTAAAAAAAATTCCTTATGGCAATGGAGGCAGACTTCGCCTTATGGTACAAACATACTAAAGTCCATTTTTTCCTTATTTTGCATTATCTTTTTTTATTTTTAAATATTACCTGAGATTTTTTTAATAATACCACTCGTTAACATTTTTGAACTTTTTTTATTTTTCTATTTTTTAAAATATACATATTTCATTATTTTTAAACATTTTATGACTTTTAATTGAACTTATTTTCATTTTTTAGTGTTATTTTTTCTTCTTTTGAAATTTTTCATTTTAATTTTCTCTCCTGACATTTTTTAACATTTTTGTCTAACTAACTTTCTATAATATTATATTATTGTTTATTAAAAAAATTAGTGATGTTAGAAGACAAGATACAATCCTAAAATAATCAAGTCAAAGTACCTAAGAAAATACAAAAAAAAATTATGTTCAACAAAAATATGAATTTTATGATGAGAAAATTGCGAGTGAAGTGAAAAAAAAAAAAAAATGCAAGCTCGCCTAGCTTGCACTCCTCAATATTAAACATGTGAAAAAGTGTACTTATGGAATATTAATAAAACTGTTTAAATTCTATTAGTTCTTTTTTTTTTTCAGTTAGAGGCTTACGGATCGTTCTGCCTGAAGACTTATGTATCACCTCATTAAAGCAAAATGCCTCAATTCAGAGTTTCGTCCTTCTAAACATTGATTCTGACGTAGAGTCGGATGAAGGGAAACAAAAACTACTCAAAATTCACTTACTATTTAGGTTTAATCAAAATCAATTTAAACAAGTTCAAATAGAGTTTTGATCGATATTTGAATTTAAATCCATTTTAACAAAATCAAAGATCAATTGACTCTCACTTTCAAATTGATTTGACTAGAAATTTTTTAAAGCAATAGTTGGTCCGTTGGTTGGTATTTCATAACATAGCTCATATAAGGGTTCTTAGTTCAATAGCTCCGACAACTCTTATGTTTTCCGCAATTTCAAGTCACCCAAATATAGAATTCAAGCTTAACCAAAATCAAAATATTTAGAATCAAGTTAGCTCGACACATAATTAAATTGCTTTCAATTCAAGATGAGCTCAACAGTTGAGTTCAAGTTTAGCAAAACTCACTCGAAATCAAATCATTGTCAGCCTTAGGATGAATCCCCATTGTAGCTTGGAGGCAAAAAAACACTTTTAAAAGCATAAACTATATGCTTTGCTTTCATAGTTGCATCTAGAAGCACAACAACACCTATACTAATTACAATAAACAACTCTACTTCACTAGTTCATATCTTGTTGTTTGATATCTTTCCAAACTTCATTTTAGCTTACTGACAAGCTCCAACTAAAACATATTATTTTCAATTTAATTGGCCTCTTTCTTGACCTTTGAGCCATCATTAAAAATTTTATTTGTCCTATTGAGCTCCTGGCAAGAAACCAAGGAGATATTATATCGACTATTATATATGCAATAGAAAGTGTTGTGCTTCCAATATTTCTTCTTTCTCCATGTTTTCTTTTTTTGTTTTGGATTCCTACTTCAATAATTTTGAAGTTGTATATGGTAAACAAGCAAAAATCAAAAATTATTTTTAAAAACATAGATAAAGAATTGAGCATTACACAAATGGTCTAACTATTCATGCTTATGCCTGGAGGAACAACAACACCTATGATAATCAAAATTTCTATAACTGCTTCAAGTTTACATCTTGTTATTAAATATCTTTTGAAACTTTTTCTCGAAATCATCAAGCTTCACCATCTCAAAGACCTCTTCCTTGTTTTTCCAGCTCTCATCAAAGAATTTATCCCAACTCTTGAGGTTGAAGCAGACAGAGGAAACTTATAAATATATCAACAATTTTATACTTAATAAAAAGTGGTGTGCTTCCTCCATTTTCTGCTTTCTCCATTCTTTTCGTCATTTAATAAACCCTACAATGAGAAAAATCCCTTCACATAACTTTATCGAGTTGCAGCAACAACTTCCAATCCAGAATGCCTCACATGACATGGTTTTATTATGTGTGAAGGCGCTAGAGCTTTTAGGTACTGTTTTGAATGCAAAATAAACCACGAAATTTAGTTCATCTACTTCAGATTTCCCTTGCCTATCAAGCCTATTTCATAATAGATTAAAAAGACTACAAACATGTCATTGAGAATAAAAAAAACTTTGGGGTGTTAATATAGATCTTAGTCTCTTTCAAGGCAAAGCAAATTCTCTCCAATCTTCCAATCTATTCTCGATGGAAATTAGTATAGATTATTACTTTCGAGCAAAGAAAAATATTCAAGTACAGCATTTCCATTATTATTTAGATATTTATCCATATAGACCATTTTCTAATCTATTTTAAAATCATGTGGATCATTTCTATCCATTTGAAATCTATTTTATAATTTTTCTTATTTATTTACAAATCATTTAGATTTATTCAACCCCACATAATATATCAACCTAATCATGCTAATGATCAATTTATAATCTTGAAGTAATTTATTTTGTACCTTAAACATCATATAATTTAAAAATCATAGTGACCAAACAATTTGTGTTTATTCAAAGAAAATAACATCAAGTTAGCTAAATGCATAAAAAAAGCACGTTGCCAAAATTAAGCTTCATGGAGGGACTGGTTTTTTATTTGTAAGGATTTGGATGAAATTGAGTTGAGTTTCAAAAGTTTCACTAAGTGTGTTTCACCGATGTTTTCGGTTTTCTGCACTATGAGAACCAAGTTGGAGTATTTGTTTAAAATAAAATGAATTTCATTTATATTCAACATCCCATAAATCCTACAATATATTATCATTATTATAAACAAAAGTAATATTCAAATCCAGTTGAAATTTAATTTTAAGTTATAATATTAATATTTTATATAAAAAATGAGAGTAACTCGCAAGCCCTCATGAATGGAACTCAGCTCACGCATTCAAGATGACTTTTAACTTGAGAAATTCATCTCATTCAAATTTTATTAAACAAAACATAAAAATAAGTAAAATTAGCTTCAATCAATTACAAACATCACGCCGAAATAAACTAGCCCAAGCGCATCTATGCCTCCCTACACCATTAAAAGGTGTAAGAATTACCATACGCAGAACCAAAGCCATGAAACACTAGAATCCTTATCGTTGATCAAGCATGTTATGTGTGCAGTATCTTGCAACTTGCAACATGGTTCATGATGAACGCAGTTTGAAACGTTGTGACTGATTCATCAAATTTAATGTAAAATATGCACAATTATAGGTTGGATTCCCCTCCTTCCTCAGACGAACAAGCTTTCTTGAAACTCTATATCCTATATATCCCACATTCTTTAATTTAGCCCCAC